TCCTTACATTTTTAAGCTTTGTATTTGCTTTGACGAATGCAACTTCCAAGTAGAGACGAACTTGGTCATATTTTCGCAGGTCTGATTTCTTCAACTGCAAAAGCAAACGCATAACTACACGACGGGAGGGACAGTCAATGAGCAAAAAAGCAAAGGAATAATCTTACCAAGTAATATCGACTTTTATCACGGAGAGCATTCTCTGACGGCCACTCAGGCAATACTCTTTCGCCATAATTATATGGCTCTGGCTGTTCTTCTTGATCCGAAGTCACAATCCATTAAGCAAGGAACCAAGCATTAACACTCCAAGCAATGCATTATCAGCTGAAACAATAAATGCTCTTGACGCCGATGCCAAAGCCTTCTTCCACAATACCCGTCTGAAAAACTTGAGGGGAAACGCAAACTGGATCCATTGCAAGACAAGTTATATACTTACTGCAGTGTACGCATCGATCTAGATCATTATTGTATTTCTGTATGCAGCTGAGCTGGAGGTTCTTCCCATGTAGCATATTGTACCAATGGATCCCAAACTTAGCATAGGAGAACGATTTCGGTGGGGGCTACTTTCAGAGGAACTGGAAGGTGTAGGTCCATCAAAGTAGTAAGGTTTAGGTGTAGGTCCATCAAAGTAGTAAGGTGTACGCATCGAACTAATTATTAGATTTTGTTGGACAAATCAATCTAAAAGATGAAAACTGGGCCTTTTGTTACAGGCCCATTTAAATTGGGTTGGGCTAATTATTATCCAGCGGTCAATATTCTGACGGTTTAGAGAGAGAGAGAATCGCGGGAAATGATTTCTTCGCTGGCGTCAACCGGCGGACCACCAGTTTTCCGGCGTGATTCCGATTCAAACATTCTCAGGCTACCACGGAGGAAAACATTCCTTTCTTTATTACGAAACTGCAAAAACATTTCCCAAGTTCCATCGATCCACGCCAAGATCATTCGGACCTCCCATGGACAAGATGCTTTCGTTGTTTTCCAACTTATCCGACTCTGCTCCACTCTCGATTCTGTCGACTACGCCTACGACGTGTTTCGTTACGTATCAAACCCTAATGTCTATCTATTCACCGCCATGATCGATGGGTTTGTGTCATCTGGTCGTTTCGCTGATGGGGTTTCGTTGTATCGTCGGATGATTCACGATTCGGTTCTGCCTGATAACTACGTGATCACGTCAGTTCTGAAAGCTTGCGGTTTGGAAGAGTGTAGAGAGATTCATGCACAGGCCCTGAAACTAGGGTTCAGGTCTAGCAGGTCGGTGAGTCTAAAACTGATGGAAATCTATGGGAAATATGGGGAATTGGTTGACGCTAAGAAGGTGTTCGATGAAATGCCTGAAAGAGATCATGTTGCAGCAACAGTCTTGATCAACTGTTTTTCCGAATGTGGTGCTATTAAGGAGGCGTTAGAGATTTTCCAAGATGTGAAGATTAAAGATACGGTTTGTTGGACTGCGATGATTGATGGGTTGGTTAGAAACAGGGAGATGAACAAAGCGTTGGAGCTTTTCAGGGAAATGCAGATGGAGAATGTTAGTCCTAATGAATTTACAGCTGTCTGTGTTTTATCTGCCTGCTCGGATTTGGGAGCGTTGGAGCTCGGGAGATGGGTACACTCGTTTGTCGAGAACCAAAAGATAAAGCTTAGTAATTTCGTAGGCAATGCTCTGATCAATATGTACTCAAGGTGTGGTGATATCAGTGAGGCAAAGCGGGTTTTTAGGGGAATGCGAGACAAAGATGTCATTTCATATAACACGATTATCTCTGGACTAGCAATGCATGGGGCTAGCTTTGAAGCCATCCAGGAATTTCGCGATATGGTGAACAGAGGATTTAGGCCGAATCAGGTGACTTTGGTTGCTCTTTTAAACGCATGTATCCACGGAGGTTTGTTAGATATAGGGCTTGAAGTTTTTAATTCTATGTGGAGAGTTTTCGGTGTTGAACCACAGATTGAGCATTATGGATGTATTGTCGATCTTCTTGGTCGAGTTGGCAGACTAGAGGAAGCGTACAGATTCATAGAAAACATGCCAATAGAACCAGATCATATCATGTTAGGAGCTCTTTTGAGTGCTTGTAAGATCCATGGGAACATGGAACTTGGAAAAAAAGTCGCCAAGAGACTGCTTGAATCTGAGAATTCAGATTCTGGGACGTACATTCTCTTATCGAATATCTACGCTTCCTCAGGGAAATGGAAAGAATCTACTGAAATTAGAGGAAGTATGAGAGAATCAGGGATTGAGAAGGAACCAGGTTGCAGTACCATCGAAGTGGACAACCAGATCCATGAGTTCCTTGTGGGCGATATAGCACACCCTCAGAAAGAAGTAATTTATCAGAGATTACAAGAACTGAATCGAATTCTTAGATTCGAAGAGAATGAACTAGATATTATAGCGGGTTTGCTGGATATCAATAATTGGTAGTGACGATACACATTGTTCTCAGGTAAGATGTTTTACTTCCTCAAACCTTTGTATATTCTTATCTCTGTTTTCGATAATGGTTTGAAGAACACAAAAAAAAACTTAGTATAATGGAGAAGGCTTGATTGAGTAAGCCACTAGTGGGCTTCTGACACTGTGGCTCCCATCAGACCAAACCAAAGACGAACTTACGACACTTCCATCCTTCAGTCCTTTACCAGAGATGGTCACAGCAAAAGATTTCTTCTCCTTCAGGAAACCGAATCTTAGAATATCTGGTTCTACGCTGATTTTAATCTCCGGTCGAAGAGGAACCACACTCGCCTTGTACGTAGAGTTTGGGAATCCAACGTTAGTAACGGTTCTTCTAAATGTGATATTAAATGGATCACGAGCAGAAGAATATGTAGTCATTGTTGGGTAATTCAGATCCTTGACTTCTGTTTTGTGAGATTTTTGTGAGCAACCTTGAATCAAATCCCTCTGCACTTCATTTTGAGGTAATCTTCTGTCTCTACTTCATATACAAGTCCCGGGTCGCTGGCTTTGGTCGGGTTAATTTGGCCCGACCCGTATGCAAATTCTTGCTCGGGGTTTTTCTTAAGGTGTATTGGCGTAGCTGCAAATATACCATGCCAATACTCTGTTCTTTTATCCCCTCAAAAGTAAGAAAATTAGACGTAAATATTGGTTTTGAAAAGTACCGGTCGTCATGATAGCAGATTTGATTGCCGAGGGAGACCAGTCGGGGTGAAAAGACTTGACATAAGCTGCTACACCTGCAACATGAGGGCAAGCCATGGATGTGCCACTCAGTACACTAAACCTGACACTTCTCGTCCTTAGGGTTCCTCGAAGGAGAAGCTACCGGAGAAAATGCAGCCAAGATCTCTAGTCCAGGTGCACTTACGTCAGGCTGCAAATCAACTTTGGGTTAGAGAACCAAAGCAAATTTAATATGATCTTTGTTCCGGTTTCATTACCTTCAAGAGGTTCTTGATAATTAAACTTGGTCCGCGAGAAGAGAAAGACGGAACGTAAGGAGCTTCTCTATCAACTATCTCTTCGGTTCTCAGTATCTCTGCTTGTGGTTTCCTGCAAATTCACTCTTTAAACATTTCAAAACCGAACAACAAAACTGTTCCGATTCAACTCTGCCCTTTACTTACTCTGCAGACTTGATGTATAATTTGACAGATTCATAGTCCTCAGAGTTCAGAGAAGAGGCCGGAAATGGGAACACAGAGGCGATATCTGGAGTCAATGTGTTCGGTGTTTTGAACAATGGCTCCAGTAGCTCCTGCTAGGTAAGCCTCTTTGTTTCCTAGGAAGTCGTCGCAGAGGACGATGTTCCCTTTAACCAGGTCTCTATCCACACACCCACTTACACAAAAACTGTCAATGGCAATGATCTTTATTAGCATCAATGTGTTTTGATTCAAGATTCAGATTGGAAAGTGGAAGAATCAGCAAAGAAGATAAGGATTTCGTTCTTACTCACCCGGCTGAGGACTTGGGACATTTTCTCGAAACATTTCAGCCGTAAACGATCGGGAACTTGGTCCCAATGACTGGATTAACTGACAAACCCTGTTTAAGAAACAGAGTTTTATCGGCTCTTGTACTTTCTCACTAAATCTCACCGCTTTGAAGAAACGTACCGTTAAAGCTTTTCCGTTACCAAGAACGACTCTGTCGACGAAACGCCGATCCGTAGCACTAGCTGCGACTGTTATCATCCACGGTGATACATTTGCTACTGTCCCTTGGTCGGGCCCTCTGTTCCCAGCGGAGCCTGCCGTGATTATCCCTCCGAGACATTGCGTGAACCGACCCAATGCTATAGAACCATTCAACAAATCGGAGACATCATTGGTTGAGATAGAGATCGAGATAACGTCAACATCGTCGGCTATGGCATCATCGAACGCGGCAAGGATATCTGCGTCGCTGCAGTAGCCCTTGAGGCAGACTTTATAGGCGGCGACTCTAGCCGATGGAACTCCACCTCGGGCAGTGCCTTGAGACAGGCCGTAAAAGCTGGCGGCTTGAACCACATTACCGGCAGCCGTGGACGCCGTGTGTGTCCCATGGCCTTGTTCGTCTCTTGCTGACAGTGACCCGGCTAATTTGATGTAGAACCTAGCTCCGATAAGTTTGCTTGTTAAACAAGTAAGATTATCCCAAACGTAAGTATATAACGGATATAACCAATTTGGACTAGTGTTACAAATTTATCTACCAAGTTTTATAACTTTGTAATGAGTTTGATATAAGGAACAGGTTAGAATATAATTTTACTTGTTGCAAGTGAAATTTTGGCCACCTCTACAAGAACCTTTCCATTTCTTTGGAGGCGGACCGAAACCTTTGTCGTCGAAGCTCTCAGACTCCGGCCAGATTCCGCTGTCGATCACTCCGATGATAAC